CCCGGGCCCCCCACCACACCCCCCCCCCCTCCTCTGGAAGGTTTCTACTAGGGTCCAGCCACACACTCCAGCCCGGTCCCCCACTGGCCATCTCACCGTGCACTGGCCTCTTTGAAGCCACCCCGGGCTCCGTGCCAGCCACAGGGCCTCGCCTGCTTTCTAATGTAACCACAGCCAGGGGCCCAGTGTCTACATGGGGACCCTCAGTTGCCATTTGATGCCTTGGGGGCCATCTGCTCCTCAACAACTCTCTGGGTGAAGTGGGCAAGAGCTCTCCACCCTCTACTACCCTCTCCCCCTCCACCCCCTGCCTGGGGTGCACTGGAACAGCTGCTGGCCATCCGCGGCCGTGAGGCCGAACCAGACGATCGACCCACCTAGTGCAACATCAGCTGCAGGGCCTCCAGGCCTGCAGCCCCGCCATCCTCCGGGACCGAGCTGTGCGGCCTCAAGCTCCACCCCCCTCAGCCCGAGGCCAGGACAGCGGGCTGAGGAGACCAGCACTGGCCGACCCGCCGGGAGGGCCCCGACACAGTCGATAGCCGCTTGTGTTGGCCTGGACCTGACTGAGGGTGCTCTGTGCTGCTGGACAAGCAGCTCCTCCCCAGAGCAGCGTCCGGGGCCCGCCGAGAGGCAGCCCCATGCCCCCCAACACCCCAAGGAAAGGCAGTGGACAGGCCACCCAGCAGGGGGCTGGACTTGCAGGTGGGGGCCTGGTGGTGGGAGTAGGGGTGGCCTCATGGCCAAACCACACAGCCCTCAGCATAGGCCTGTCACCACCACCTGGCAGCAGCGCCCGGCCCCTGGGCCCTCTGCCACTCTCCCAGCTCGGCGCTGCTCACCTGGGAGAAGGCGGGCATGGCCACGCTGTAGGGCCTCTGCTTGAAGGTGCCGGCCGTCTGCGCGGGGAAGGCCCGAGAGGACGAGCCGTAGTCAGGGGGCGGCAGGGCCGGGTCCTCCTTGTCCAGGAGGTTGCCGGTGCTGCTGCTCTTCCCGGGCTGCAGGCTGCAACAGACAGAGGCTCAGGCTGGAGCCCAGTACGGTCAGCCCTCGGGGGTGAGGAGAGGCTGCCATGCTTCCCAGGGTCCGCCCAGCCCAGCATGCCTCCTTCCACCAGGGTGACTGCCCAGACCTGGGCGAGGGGACGTCTGGGGAGGGCTGAACCACTGCATCCGCCAGGGGAGCCCTGGTCTACCCCAGCCCCCACCCTTCGGCAGCCCAGTCCCACCTAATTCTCCCAGGGCCTGAGGGACGTGGTTGGGGACCCACGCCCGTCCCCCACAGGGTGGCACCGCAGCACCCGCCCCTCCCTCGCGCCTGGAGCCCAGCCACGCCGTGTCCGCGCAGCCCCTCCTCTCCAGAGCCCCGCCGGCTCTCACCTCATGTGCAATCTGTCACTGCCATCACCGTCCAGCACGCGGGTGTAGGAGAAGGGAAACCAGCCCCGCCTGCAAGAGAGCCCACCTCAGAGGTCCAGTGCAGCCCAGGGCCACGGCAGAGCTGAGCTGAACCCTGCCCTGCTGGCTGCCACGACCTGCCCGGCCAGCTCCCCGGCACTCCGCGGGACAGCAAGGACTCATGTGCACTGGCGTGCTCGGCCCTGAGGTGCGGTCCTGGGGCTGTCCCTGCCCTACCTCCTGCATGGGGGTGCAGGCCTTGCCAGGGTCCTGGGCAGAGCTGCTGCTCAGAGGGCAGGTCCCCACAGCAGCCCAGCCCCACACTGAGCGCGGCGATGGCCAGAGAAGCCACTGGAAGGGGGCAGTGCCCAGAGGCATGCTGTCCCTCGAGACCCTCCCACCTGCGCCCTGCCCAGGGCGGGGTGGCTGATGCCTCTAAGCTGGCCGGCAGCTGCTAAGGACACACCGTGGCCGAGAAGGGGCCTCCCGACATCACCGCAGGGGCAGGGCCAGCAGTGGGGGTACTGGCCAGGCACTCCGCGGACAGGGGTTGATAAGCCAGGGAAGTGCAGCTCGTGTGTCACAACAACACGACTTTCGGAATGCACAGTGGAAAAGCCATGGGGTGGCAGGGCTGTGGCCTCCGCCAGCCAAGTCAACCTCTGCTGTCAGCTCGCTGCAGGCACCACACGCCCACGGCACGTACGCAGGGGACGGCATGCTTATGCCACACTGAGGGGCGTGGAGGGGATGGCACGACGCGTGAAGATGGTCACCGCCCTCCTGGGCCATGCATGTCCCACCACCCAGCTTTCCTCCAGGGCGAGTCTGTGAGCTGGATCAACCGAGGAAGCATCCGGAGCCACGGGGTCCCACGTCCCCCTGCCCCACCCAGGGCTCACATCTTGGTCTTCTCGCTCTCGCCATAGTGCCAGCCGTCACGGGCCTCAGGGACCAGCAGGGTGATCAGGTCGCCCTCCTTGAAGCTCAGCAGGGTGCTGTTGTCCCCGGCCGCATGAGAGAAGATGGCTTTAACCCGCATGCGGCCATTGCGTTCCAGGCCAGCCGCCATGGAGCTGGAGCGTGGCAGAGTCTTGTTCTCAGCTGTGGGACAGCAGGCAGGAATGAGGGTGCTGTCCACGGCAGAAAGGAGGCAGGACCCAGGGCGGATGCCAGGGTGCAACAACGTCCTCAAGTGCACACTGATGGTGCGCACTGATGGGCAGGGCTACTGGGAGCTCACAGAGCACCACGCCTGCCCAAGTCAGCGACACCCGCCACGCGCACAGCCCACGGCTGCCTTAATGGGAAGGCCAGGTAAAACCCGTGGGCACTGCTGGAAAATCTGGGGTGCTGCACGCACACCACACCCATGCGCACCATGGAATGCGCACAGCCCCCAGACACTGTACGCACACCCTGCACGCCCACAAAGCCTCCCTCAGAGGTACGGCCTTGCTACAGGCCCGCCTCCTGCCCTGGCGAGCCCTTACTGGTGGCGTAGCTGTTCTTGGGGGCCACGCTCTTGCGCACAGGGAGCGTGTTGGAGTACGAGTCACTCAGCTTGCTCTGAGACTGCGGGGGAGGCAGGGACTTGGGCTGGGCAGCCTTGCGGTCGGCCCAGGGGTTGTAATCCTCGCCGTCAGGGCCTGCGACGCCGTTCACGATGGGTGCGCTCTCCTGGGCGGACATCCGCTGCAGAGAAGGGGTGGCAAGGCGGGTGTCGCTGGGGGCTGTGCCCTTGCCCTGGCTTGGCCCCTCAAGGCCACCCTCCTGTATCTCACAGCCTTCAGAGGCCTGGACTCACCCCCACAAAAGGAGCCAGCTCAGGGGGCACTGGCAGGGGCTTGGCGCCGGGGATGGGGTCAGAGATGACCAGGTTGGACTTGGAGGCCGACAGAGCACCTGGCAGGATGGTGCCGTTGCTGCCGGCCGCCTGCCGGCTCCGCCGGCGGGGCCGGGCCGGGG